GCGAGGTAAACAACAGCCATTGACTCATACAAGCCGATCCAGAGGCAAATTCACATGGACCGTGGTTTGTTGTATCTCGGGAAATTGGACCCTGAAAGCGGGTAGAACCTGACTAGGCCTCGGGTGCACGCAAGAAGCGGGCAAACAACACGAAACGACGAAAGAGATAGAGTAAACGTCCATCGACGATCCCTGAGCCCAGACCGCAATTGAGGCACATCTAACACCTGTCGAATCAAAGGCTAGATTTTCTGGGATGCGTAGGGTAGTTGCCATCCTACGATTTTGGGTATTATATGGACCCTGGATAGGATCTGGTACGAGGCGCAAGCTGGAAATCTTGGAAAGCCATTGAAGTGCGTGCAAGCGGGGTTACCCTTGTTTCGTGTTTTAATTATTAAATCTATCAAGTTAGTCGAATGCTACATGGTACATATAAGATAAGCCAGCCTCAGCAGCCGGGAATATCTTCCATAGACCAACAATATCATCTTAAGGTCCCGTACATTCCTCTGGGAGTCACTTTCTCGCACTCTGAACACACTTTCACACAACCAAAATGCGTTTCTTCAAGTACCTCATTTTTGCTGCCCCTCTCGCCCTTGCCACTCCCAACCCCAACCCAGTGGCAGCTCCCGCGCCCCAGTCCACCGGCGGCGGCTTGCTCTCTGAGCTACCTGACTTCCTCAGCGCACTCAAAGAACTCCTCAACCCAGAAACTCTCGATGACCTCCAAACAATCGTGAAGGGTGGTGCCGCCCTTCTGGGAGGCGACACCCCAAAGAACTTGCAAAGACTAGTGTCGAGTCAAAACATTGACAAACTGCAACATGTCATTGATAATGCAGATACTCTCTTGACACCCAAGTTTGTAAATGAGACACAAGGTCTCATTGAGGATGCGGCACCGGTAAGCTAGCCCTTAATCGTACGTGAGTAAATCAGTACTAACTTTGGCTTAGCTTGTGGACAATGTTTCCAAACTTTTGGGTGGACTTCTCGGGGCTTTGATTTAATTGAGTCGCTTAGATAGCGCTCCAGATACCTAGATGGTCTCTTGGTCTTCGTAGTTTTCATAGGGCAGCGTTCTGGATACCTAGATAAATATCTTGGTTCTTTTGGTTTCTTTCGGTCAATGGCGTTCTAGACACTTGGAAATAAGAACCTTGGGTCCAATTTCATATCCCTGTAGCCTTCCCGTAGTACTAAGCTAAGCGATGCCCTTGTACTTACCGTTTAATATTAGGCTAACAGGGGTCCGAGACTACAAAGAAACATCCTTGCTCTCAGGCGATCAATATTGATTAGGCGCAGGCGCATGGTCATGCATTAGGATAATTTTTCCAAATCTTGTTTTCTACCTCTTAGACCAATATCGTTAGATAACGTTTCAAATACATGAATTAATAACATGGGTGCATGCATTACTACAAGATCAAAGCACCAAGTAAAAAACTACACTACATTCATATTCTTTCGTAATTCCTGCAAATAATAGCGCAGTGGATATCCTCGCGTCGACGTCGGCAGCGCCGGATACACCGCCACCGAGAACCCCATCGTCGTCCGATACAGACCTCTCGTACTAAATGTAGACTTAAGCCCGTAAGCCTCTCGGATCCGAGGCGGCAGCATTTCAATCGTAAGCACTCTCAGAAACGGTTTCATAACCGATACCCATCCTGGATAGTCGGTGCGATGTATGAGGTCTTGAGCAAACTTATGTGCGTCCGCCGTAACTGTTAACTGCTCGATCTGGTCATCCCAGTACCTCCAAAATGCCTGGCGGTTCTCGGGCCAGGTTCCAGGTGGTATACCCACGGCGTGCATAAGGGATGTGAACTCCACATAGGCTTTCTCGGCCGTTTGGTAGTTGACGCGGCCGTAGACACGCTGGTAGAAATCAGTCGCCGTCGCGTAGAGCGTCGCTGCGACCCAGAGCTGGGTTGGTCGGTGGGAGGAGAAGTTCTCGCTCCCCCGGAGAGGCGGTTGGCTGTTGCTGAGGAGGTCGAGAAGAGTCTTTTTCTCTTGTCGCGTGCCGAATACCAGGCAGGCGATGTAGCTGAGATTTGCCTGGAGGGCATCGCCCAGTTCTGTTGCTAGGTTGCTGCTGTCGGCGGTGCCATTGCCAGCATCGTGGGTGTCGCTAGTTCGACTTCTAATCCCGGGGAAAGCCGCTTGGAGTAGCAGAGCGGATCCTGAGCCAGCAAATAGAATGCCTTCTTGGAGGATCTGGGGGAGGATCTCGAGTTGGTCGAGGGCATCAAGACGACTGGATTCAGACGAGTCCGAAGCTGTCTGGGAAAGCTCGTCGGGTGATTTTTTTTCGTTGAGCGACATGATGTTTAGATGTTTAACGGCGTGAATAAGGGGCTGTTTGGCGAGATTGTAGAAATCGTAGAATTATGTAGGATGTCGCGGGTCGTTGCGCTATTGATGACTTAGGGTTACAGGATCATCACACCTCACCGACAACTGCACATGCCTTTCATGCAAGACAACAACCTCGCCTACGGAAGATTGTCAAACATCACTTCTCTTATCTTTAGGTATTATCATTGCAAATTCGTGTCTGATGACGCCCTTGCTTTCCTCACTTTCCCCGCATCTCAAAGAGGCAGTCTTTCCGTCCCCCAAGTTTCGTTCTTCTGGAGCCGGTGGATCCACCTCCTGGCCCGAAGCTTAGGTCCTTTCTAATAACCGCGGTTTCTCAATAGTTCGTGCCGATCCTCATCCAACTTCCGCATGTGAACTCGTGTCTCTAAAATGAGGTCTCCATCATTGGCCCCAACACCTCTCTCGCCGCGATCGACGGCGTCGCACTGTCGATCCATGCGGAGTGATGATGCCAGGTTCAAAACCGGGCTTATCCCGGAATGACCCCTTTACAGTGGATCCCTCGAAGCGAAAAAAGAATTAGGACAGACCTGTTAATCTACCTACTTCGGTGACCATATATTAAAACATACACGCCTCGATCATATATATTCGCCCTCTGGACGAGTTCGACGACGTAGCCCCCCGCCTCCTCACCGTGGACAGCGACAGCCATGGAAGAGAAACATTCATATCTCAGCTCCAAAGCGGCCAAGTACGCCTTGGGCATCCATCGCGGGCCTCTCCCCCAGGGCAATGGCGATGATTACGGAATTGAGCATGTCGAGACGGCGAACACGTTAGAGAAGAAAGAGAAGACAAGAGCCGAACGCGCAAGGAAACATTGGGCTCGATTCTGGTGCTGCTATATCTTCTGGAGCATTATCTTCCTGGCCATTTTCTTGCCCATTTTGTAGGCTGCTCCACTTCCCACGAGCCACGTTTCAAATTGACTGATTTTTGCAGCTTCACTATCATCATACCGGCCATCGCCCAAAGAGTGGTCAACCATTCTGACCTCGTGCTCACCGAGACGAGCGTCATGCAGCCGCGACCTGATTCGATCATGCTTAGTTTGAAGACGGCGCTGAAACTACCCATTGGCGTCCCTGTCCGCATCGATCCCATGGCAGTGAGCCTGTTCAATCGCAAACAGGAGGGCAATGGCACGTGGGCGATAGTCTACCTCGACGGTGCAACGATCACTGGGAACACCACCCTGGGAACGGACAACCAATTCACCCCCTTGAATGTGGAGCAGTGGAAGAACTATGTCCACAGTGTGGTCTTCGAAAAACACGCCCCGTTATCGGTCCACGGAAAAACTCGCGCGTTTCTGGGCAAGTTGAAAAATCATGTCACCATGGACAAGGATATCGAGCAGAACAGTATGTTCACAATTTGTACATCATCCCAGCGATTGACCAACTGACGTCTTCAGCCCTCGATTCATTCTCCGGCTTCTCTATCACGGATCCGCAACTCCTCCTCCCAGCACGGGATGACGGCACGAACCTAATTGCCAACGCCACTCTGCCTAACCCTTCCGTTATGACCTTGGAAATCGTATGTCGCGCCTTTTCGAAACAAATATAAATCTGCTAACAATCTCAGGGAACAACAATCCTCAACCTCAAAAGCGGCGACCTCGTCATCGGCAACGCAACCATCGACAACCTCGTCCTCAAACCAGGCAACCACTCAACACCAGTCCACGGCGTCCTAGACATCCGCGCTCTGCTCAAGAACCTCGTGACCGTCCTGCAAACCCAGGCCAGCTCCATTAAAGAAGGATACCTCACCCTCGATACCGTCGGCAAATCAGTCGTCTACGATGGCGTCGAGGTTCCATATTATACCGAAGTAATGAGGAACCTAACGATGACAGCAAAGGTGCCTCTCGGCGGACTGATCACGAATACGCTACGAGGACTTCTGCACGATGGGAGCGGACATAATATCCTAGCTAATCTCACAGATAATTCGGATTCAAGCAGCGGGGGCGGCTTATTAGATTCGCTCAGGGGCTCCGGGAAGGGAGTGAGTAACCTATTGACCAGTCACGCTGTAGATGAGTTGTTGAATAATCCTGCGAAGCGCTCGTCGATGATTAATGTTTTGGAAGGATTTCTATAGATTATGATTTCATGACGGAAGATATGGACTTGATGTATATACCGATGTCTGTGATGTCGGGGTTGGGCGTTTGGTTATTTGTTTTGTGTTTGATGATAACCCTACTGCGATTTGGTTAAGTTCATGATATACTCCATACAGTAACTATGGGTGTTTAATATACTTGGTATCTCATTGTGGTTAAGTTGCCAGTATTGATTGAACTTGTAATCCTAATTGGCCCTTACAGGGCTATCTTCATGAATCTCCTCGGGATATATCAGGTATGCCGCTTTAATTAAAGAACAACAGAGATATAGTACCTTAAATACCCCTCCTAAATCCATCTCAATCAAGATCCTAGGATATCAAAGACCCACTAACGTTCCAAATATTTCAAATTCATCCCTGGAACCCAAACTAATAGACCCAAGCACACTCTTAGGTTCGGTATTCATTGGTATTCTTTCCGTTATAAATCTGAGATTGGGGAGATCTCTCAATAACAAGCATTAGTGGTGTAGCGGTAACATACTTGCCTTCCATGCTCCAATCAGCGAGCAAGTGCTCTGGGTTCGACTCCCAGCTAATGCAGTTATATCTTTTTTTGGTGTTTTCTTTATTTAGCTTGCCAGTGGTGTTATCCTAATCATTGCTTATCAGTGGAGTCCCAGATAGACTAGTCTTGTTAATGTTTTTGTCGGAGCGGAAAAGAATTGATGCGGGACCGTGCCGATGTTGGACCAATAAAATGGCATGCGTGCCTGACAATGGGCCCTGGCTACCGCAGACCCAGCTGTCATTCATAGAGCATATAATCTCCAGGAATAGATGAAATTCGTACATTCCACAGTTAAAATTTTTCACCCTACGGAGTAGTGTCGTTTACCCCAAGATAAGCAGAGCATTATGAATGTAGATAGTATAGCATAAGTAGACCCCGCGCACCATGTCTCTTTAAGGGGGTGGATAATGTAAAGAATTAGGCCTATCAGAGGTTATCTACGGATTAGTTAGAACCTAGTCCCGGAAGCCGCGGATATAAAGAGAGGCTTGTTGACTCTACGCTCCTGCAATCAATGATCCGATTAGATAGTTGAATAACATCATGGTCCTCTAAGCTCCTCTGATCAATACGTTGGTTAGTGTGTAGTTGATACACCTATATCGCAGCTTTCCTATAACAAGACCACCTGAAGCTCTTCCCCCCAATTCTTTACAGATAAAAAGGAAAGGAATGCATTAAGCACTAACTAAGATCTCCCATGTAGGCAGGGTAGTGCTACTGGCCCTGCACCCTGCATGTGTATGTATGTGCATATCACCAGGACTTATATAAAGAACCTTTCAACGAAGTTAGTAAGGTAGCGTGAGCTGCGTATATGTTGATAGGTGATTAACCAGTGCCGTGAGATGCCATAGCTTGGCAGACCGACAGCCTGGTTAATCGTGTGGCCTCTGACAGTGGGTTTCTGATCGATCGACTTTGGAAATCCTCCTCTAGATAGTTTCTCGGGTTGTCTATCGTCCTTTTGGGGTGAAACCCCTTATCGCCCAAGCCAGTTCAAAGACGACAAAGTCTTAATTTCTCTTGGGTACACGTTGAATGTTGATGTGTCTTTGAATACTTCCCGTACCCACTCGCGTCAGTATAGACAATTCGATGAGATTCCCTTTTTCCAAAGCCGAGCACATGGTGAGAACAGCAACCAACCTTGGACAACCCCGCCTCAGTTATCTGTTAGCTTTAAATTATGGAGTTAGCCTTCTGCTTGAGTGGTGGATGTTGATCCAAGTGAAAATGCATTTATTGCGTATATTGACCCAGTGGAGTATCATTATCCATAAGTGCAGCACCGCTATTTAGCCAAGAGTAAGATAAATAGAAAGTAAAACCACGACCTGACTCTGAGGTTCGCGGGAATGCAGCTGGCCATGACACGATTGTATAAGCAAACAGAAGCTTGTCCGTCAGACAATCATCACTACGCATACATCATGTCTCGTACAGTACTAAAATCACATCACAAACAACAAATTGACATCTAAGACTATTAGCAATGAACACCAATTCATTCAACATTTACATAAATCTCACCTAGCGGGTGGCTGCAGCTCAACTGCGGCTTCTGACTATATTTTCCTTCTAGCTCGGACCGGATCGAATTCAATAATTGCAAGTAGCTCTGGTTGGGGCGCTGCTGTAAAGTCTTGATAAACGCCCAACTCAATGCACCTCTAGCCTCTCCGTCTTGGAATGTATCCGCGCTGTAACCCTTGTTAACTGAGAACATTAATGACATATCGCGGGGTACTGACGAAGTTTGGGTATCCTTGGATCCCGAAAACATGACAACATCTGCAGGGGAGGTTTTGGTCCTGACGGTTCGTTGCCGCGCGGAGTCACCGAGAGCGGCTTTCTTAAAGAACCCAATCGCGGTTTGGGCCACGCTAGCTAAGTCGCCTTTGCCGTATGATGTTATGGCGCTGAAAAGGTCCTGGGCTGCCTCTTTGGCAAGATTAGGTTCTTTCAGAATACCCTGATTTAGTTAGTATGGTTAGACCCGTTCCTAGTTGCCAAAAAAAGGTACCTGAGTGGAGTATACGTAAGGAAGGTCGAGGGCGGTGCCCGAGTGGCAGGAGTCGAAGATGGCTGTCAGACGAACACCTGGTTGTAACGGTCGTACCCTGAAATCGTAAGTAGGGACAAGCAAGACCAACTTAATGGGCAAACGTACATAATATCGTGCATCTCGTCGTCAACGATATGGCCAGCGACACGATAGTCCACAGGGTAAATAACGTCATCATATCCTTGCCCTAGTTAGCATTATGATAGACCAAGGCAATGCTGTATTTTTGGGCTAGAAAAAATAACTCACCATCCTCTTCGTCACCATCCAAGTCAGGCGTCCGACCGCCATGCCCTAAGTCAATCAGCCAATGGGTTCCTGGCCAGCTTATCCCGAGATTCCATACCTGAGAAATGGATAAATAGCGAATCATTCGGTTGTGCATCCTTGACAAGCCACTGCATAGCTCTCAGAATATTGGCTTTGGTGGGTACGCTCATCGGATTCTGTTGGTCGTCGGTCAGGATGACCATGTCTTCTCTCCGGTATCCCCATTTGTCGTGGAGGCAGGTGGACATGTTGGTCACATCATTGATACATCCGCGGAGCGCATTCGGTTGCCCAACGTAGTTAATTCCAATCAATAAGGCCTTCCGGCGGCCCGTACAAGCGGAGTACTGGAAGCGATAATTTGACGGGGCCCCCTTGCCGAACTGCTGTGCCTCCATGGGAGGGCGTGGGGGTATTTGGCCCCATGATGGTGAGTGACCTGAAGGAGGGGTTAGTCGTTCCCTTGAATGTGACATAAAATCCGAGATCAATCGAGCTTACTGTGGTAAGAGCGATACGATGACCTCGAAGATGGGGGCGGTGTCGGAGTATGATGGCCATATTGGGCCGGAGGGGGATAGTGTGGTGGAGAATATGAATGGCGCGGCTGCGAAGTCGGGGGATATTGGTTTGAACTGGGACGGATTAGCCCTAAGTGTAACAACAGTCATGATGGGGGCAACACAATGCGGTATCTTACTAGTAAGGCTGCGGCGGCGGCGACCACTGCTGCTGAGGCGGTGGGTAGTAACCACCAGACCAACCCGATTGCGGGGGAGGGTAATTATGGTGTGGGTGGTACATCAATTCTCGTGATTGTGAGTTTTCTGACTATGAGGAAAGGGAGCGTGTACGAGTGAAAAACAATGGGTGAGTGAGCGATCAATGCGATTTCCCCTCGCCAAGGAAAGTAAGTCGATTTGCTGACTCGGGACTTTTGGTGGAGACAAGTCAGTGCACGAGTGGGAGACTAAGCAACAATCCCAACCCACAATATCGTGAAGCAAAAGTAAGCTTATCTTTCAATCTGGAGACGGAAAGAGGGGGGAGAGTAAAAGAAGAGAGTAAAGACGAACATAAAGTAAGGAAAAGAAAGTGAATTGCTCCGGACAGAGAGAGATTTAACAAGACTGGGGATCCTCAGGCAAGCCTGGCTGATAATCCGCATTCCCGGTGGGGTCTTGGCTTCCTGACAAGTGATTGGGGGGTGTGGGTCTGACACGAGGCATAGGGCAGCAGTGGTCAAATGAACTGGAGTTTGAGAAGATCACTTACAACCCCTTGCTTCTTCATGGGAAGAAGAAATGGAAATCGGATATGAAGGGGAATCCGACAAGCACAGTGAAACTACCGGAGTATCCCATACAGAATATCCTGCTTGCCGTTGACATCCCAATTGCTCCCTCTGTATATTGAATATGGTCATCCATGAGTAATCCATGACTACCAAACACGGCCATCATGGAGGAATCGTAACCATTGGAGGCCGTCAGCCTTACCAAGCCCCCTAATACTAAGTACGCATGGAATCACGGTTAGCTCGGCAAATCAGAGTCACCCGTCGCCCCATTCTGTAAAACGACATCAGCTTCTAGTACGTACTCCCCCTCCTATTTTTGTTTGTCTGGAACAGCCCTACAGCCTTGATTCCATGGTACGTGCGAGGTGGATTCGCACCCACCAATCCATCTCCAGGAACCCCCAGGGCTTCGGCACTTGTCCACGATAGGAAACCTTCCGGAATGTTCTCGCTAGGCACCAACATAACTGTCCGGTCTTGGCCTGCAGACGGGGCACATGGGGCTGAGCCGACTATGACGATAGAAGAATCCGCCAATGATGGAATCATCGGCTGTCGGCTGGCCGACCACCCTTAATTCATGCTTGGCAACAAGTCATTCATTCATTCATTCCTTATCGAAGGGGAAGGTCACGAGGGTTACGCCGAAGTATTCCCGCGGGTGGATTCTTATCTTATTATCAATATAATAGGTAATAAAGTCCTACCTAAGACTTTTATTAACTTTAAGAACTAAGTAACTAATAGTAATACTTTTCCAATGAGGCCTGGTCCTTTGAAGGTCACGAGGTTGCTCACATGACCGGCAATGAAACATGCGAGGCCCAATCTTGTAAGCTCTAGTAAGACTTGAATCACCGGAACCGAGCTTAACTCCGCGTCATCATGAAAGGTGGATTGATTGATCGGGGGACTGGTGTTCCGTGATAGTTGTTCTGTACTAGATCAGATGCGGCACCGACAAGGATTGTGTCGTCTAGCCCCTTCGCTCATGGATATGCGCCCAGGGTGATCATGATATCTACCCGCTGTCATGATGCATTGTTAATCGTCAGATCCTCGACGATATCAGGCTACTCATGCTACACAGTCGTAGACGATAGCTGACGGCGAGGAACTCGGGCCACGATAATAATATGACATTGCCGAGCAACCCCAGATTCCTTTCCTGCGGGTAGGGGATTGACCTCTGAACAATCTCGTGCACGAGAAGCAGAGCCTCACTCAGCATCGTCAGGGCTACCAGGCGGAACCTCAACGGTCAGTGCTGATCTATCATATAAGAAGCACAAACCCCTCCTCCTCAAGATCTACAAGGATACGAAGCAAACAAAAACGGCCGGCCAGCAGGAATGTGACCCGGCAGGGATTCCTGCTTCACCAACCTCGAG